GAGGAAGGCTTGCCACACCTATGGGCACACTAGCACAGGTAGATTTCAAGGTGTTCAGAAAAGCAGGACCAACATGTGCTGGGGCACAGGGTATGAGCAAATAGGGACGTTGGAATCATGGGGTATGTGAAGAGGAAGATAGGAGAGGTTGGATAGGTCCTTATGGGCCAGCCCAGAAGAGTTTAAGTATCCTAATGTTAGAAGTGAGAGTCCATTTCTGTGATCAGTTTTGATCATGTAGACCCTTGGAAGTGATAGATTAGAGGCAGGCAAGACAGGCATAAGCTGTGTGGGGCCAATGAAGTTAAAAGCAAGGCAGTGGCAAGATTGACTAAATCTAGGCTTTATGGAACATGGTAGGATTTCTTCTTTCCTGGTTAAGTTGCTGCCATGTGCCGTATGTGAAGAGAAGGATGGTAGAAATGGTAAGGTCCTGCAGAACATGTCATTGAATATATCTTGGATTCAATGAGGCTCAAGAAGACTTGGTAGAAGAGGGTTAATGATGGATCAGCATTTTATGGGGTGGTTGGCTAAAGGAAGACTAGGGCACAGGATTCTGAGGTGTTAGTGCTGACTCCTCCCACCTTTTGAAAAGCTCAGCGTTTCTCCTGGAGTCCCAAGTCGCATTAGGAGCTGTCCCAGGTGACTAGCGTTGACGGGCTACATTTTTGCTTCTTGGTAGCTCCCTCCTATAGCCAGCCACTTGTTTTCTCCTGTTTTTCTGGTGATCCAGTAGGTCAGAATGGGGAAATGTTGCACAGACTCAGAATGAGATCCTACCCCCCCCCCCGCCCAAGGAGTGTAGGGAGTACACACTGCATTTGCTGATTGTGTCATCTAGGTAAGGGTATTCAAAACTGTCTTGTAGCTTTGTTTATGGTGGGTTAGCGTATCATTTTGAGTGGCACAGAACCAATCACCTTATACCCTCATACCTAATCCCTGTTTGATTGTCTAACTCCCGAGGCTCCTCCTCAGGGCCTGCCTATTCTTTTGCATACTGGTTACCCCAGCCTTCTGCACTCTGCCACTGGAAAGAATTTTGGTGCAAAGTATGCACGTAGTTGTCTTAGGATCCTGGTTCCCTAACAGGCTGGAAAGGCTCCTTAAATACTTTTCTGGAGAGAGACAGTTGACCCTTGAACAACATGGGTTTGAATTGTGCAGGTCCAATTATATGTGGATTTTTTCTGATTGACCCACACAGTTCAAACGTGTTGTACAAGGGTTGAGTCTGCAGTTGGGAATACCTGTATGTGGAGGGCTAAGTAGTTTTTTTTTTAACCCTTTTTAGAAAAATCTTTATTGTTGAATGTATTACAGATGTTCCTCATTTTTCCCCCATTGACCCCCTTCTCCCCACTCCCACCTCCCCCCACACTGTGGTCTGTGTCCATTGGTTATGCATATTAGTTCTTTGTTTTATTTCTCCCACCCCCTAACCGCCTTCCCTTTGAGGTTTGTCAGTCTAGCGATGAATTTGTACTTCTTAATCCCTTCAACTTTTTCACCCATTCCTCCAACCCCCCTCCCATCTGGCAACCAACAAAATGTTCTCTGTATCTATGAGAATGTTTCTGTTCTGCCTGTTCATTTTGTTTGTGGATTCAATTGTTAGTAGATAGGTATTCATTGCCATTTTGTTTGTTCATATATTCTATCTCTTCAAAAAGATCATCATTTCATATAATAACGGTTTGGTGGTGATGAATTCCTTTAACTTTTTCTTGTTTGGGAAACTCTATGGCCATTGATTCTAAATGACAGCTTCGCAGGACAGAGTAATCTTGGTTGTAGGTTTTTGCTTTTCATCACTCTGAATATTTCTTGCCACTCCCTTCTGGCCTGCAAAGTTTCTTTTGAGAAATCAGCTGATGGTCTTATGGGAACTCCCTTGTAAGTAACTAACTGCTTTTCTCTTGCTGCTTTTAAGATTCTCTCTTTGTCCTGAACCTTTTTGCATTTTGATGATGATGTGTCTTGGTGTGGGCCTCTTGGGTTCATCTTGTTTGGGACTCTCTGTGCTTCCTGGACTTGTATGTCTGTTTCCTTCACCAGGTTAGGGCAGTTTTCTGCCATTATTGTTTCAAATAGGTTTTCAATTTCTCGTCCCCTCTCTTCTCCTGGCACCCCCAAGATGCGAATGTTGGCATGCTTGAAGTTGTCCCAGAAACTCCTTACACTATCCTCATTTTTTTGGATTATTTTTTTGTTTTGATGTTCTGATTGGGTGTTTTTTGCTTCCTTATATTCCAAATCAATGGTTTGCTTCTTGGCTTTACCTACTCTACTATTGAGTCTGTGTAAATTATTCTTTATTTCAGTTAGTGCCTCATTCTTTATTTCAGTTAGTGCCTCCTTCATTTCTGACTGGTCCTTTTTAATGCTCTTGAGGCCCTCACTAAGTTCATTGAGCATCCTTATAAGCAGTATTTTGAACTCAGCATCTGTTAGGTTGCTGATCTCCATTTTGCTTAGTACTTTTATTGGAGATTTTTTTCTGTTCTTTCATTTGGGACCTGTTTCTTTGTCTCCTCATTTTGGCTGCCTCCCTGTGATTGTATTACTTAACAAGAGGTATGGGGCTAGCTGAGACCAGATGCTGCTTGTTAGAAAGAATTTAGGAAAACATGAAGCAGGATCCAAGACAGGCCAATCCTATGGTTAAGCAACTGGCAACAGCTTGGGTGGACCTGAAAGTTGGGTGGGGCGGGGCAGGGCTTCAGGGAATCACCAGGGCGGGGCAACAGTGTGAGCCAGGTTGCTGGAGTCCCAGATATGGGGACTGTCTGCTGCCCCCCTGGAAGGGCTCACCAAAGGAACAAAGGCCTCTGACAGCACACTTGCCCCGGAGAAAGCCCCGTCTCCAGCCCTTGCTCCAATGCCAATCAGCTCAGTTCTTCCCTGTATGTCTCTGGCGCCCCTCGAGCTGCCTCCCCTCCGAGCTTGGAGTGAGTCCGATAAGTCCATGCTTGGGCCCTTTAAGGAGCTGCCTGGGGCTCCAGCCACTTCAGCTTCCCTGAGCCTCAGTTCCTGCTGGTTTTTCCAGCCAGAAATTATGGGGACTTCTCTTCCTGGCACTGGAACCCTGAGCGTAGTGCCTGTTGTGGGACGGGGACCCCTGTGTCCTCAGGGAGGACCTTCCCAGTCAAGGTGTCCCCCTGATTTTTATCCGCCACATGTGGGTGTGGGACCAGCCCCTCCACCCCCGCCCCTCCTACCATCTCCATGTGACTGCTGCTTTAATCCCGTAGTTGTAGGACTTCCATTCAGCTTGATTTCAGGTGGTTTTGAATGATGGTTGTTCTGTAGTTTAGTTGTAACTTTGATGTGGTTTTGGGAGGATGGATACTGTGCTTACCTACGCTGCCATCTTGATCAGAAGTCCTTTTTTAACTTATTGAATTTATTGGGTGACATTGGTTAATAAAATGATAAAGGTTTCAGGTATACAGTTCTATAATATATTGTCTGTATATTGTATTGTGTGTTCACCACCCAAACTCCAGTCTCTCTCCATCACCATTTATTTCCCTTGATCCTTTTCTACCTCACCTGAGGATATTTTTCCATTGATTTTTAGAGTGGAAAGGAGGGAGGTGGGAAGAGAGAAAAACATCCCTGTGAGAGAGACACATCGATTTGGTTCTTGGGCCTATACTCTAACCCAGTGGTTCTCAACCTTCCTAATGCCGTGACCCTTTAATACAGTTCCTCGTGTTGTGACCCCCAACCATAAAATTATTTTTGTTGCTACTTCATAACTGTAATTTTGCTACTGTTATGAATCGCCATGGGAAATAATGTGTTTTCTGATGGTCTTAGGCGACCTGTGAAAGGGTCATTTGACCACCAAAGGGGTTGCAATCCACAGGTTGAGAACCACTGTTCTAACCACTGAGCAACCCAGCCAGGATTTTTTTTTTTTTTTTTTTTTTGCTGCTTAATCCCTTCACCTTTTTCACCCAGCCCTGCAATTCCCCTCCCCCTGACAGTTGTCAGTCTATGAGTTTGTTTCTATTTTTGTTTTTATTTTGTGAGGGCTGACTAGTTTTGTATGTGGATTTAAGACTGCAGGAGGTCAACACCCCTAACCGCCCGCCATGTTTAAGGATGAACTGTAGTTATAGTTCCTTTAATTCCATCATGAGAAGAAATAGCTACTAGAACTCATTTCCTAAAGTTTTGCTTTTGTGGTTGGCATGTTTTCTGGGCCTGGTGTAAGCTGTAACCCCCTGCCTCCAGGGGGTGGGAGGGAGCAAAGGGAGTAGTTTAGCCTGCTGATATCGGTGCCAGAAGGAACCCAATTGTATTTGGTGGCTATTGTGGTCTTATATGTTTATTTTATTTTACTTTTTTTTTTTATCCTTGAGGAAATTTTTGCATTTCAGATAGAGCAGGAGGGAGAGAGGGAGGAAGAGAGAGAAACATCGATGTGAGAGAGAGACATCGACTGGCTGCCACCCACACAACCCCACCGGGGCTATGGACAAACTGCAAGCGAGGTACGTGCCCTTAGCGGGAACTGAACCCAGGTCTCTCTGGACTGCAGGCTGAAGCTCTAACCGCAGAGCCAAACCGGCCAGGGCTGGTCTTCTATGTTTAGATGATAGTGTCTCTTCCCCTGAAAATTGCTCTAATTGTACAATTTCTCTTTCCCATGGAAAAAGCAAAAGACACTGTGCTGTCTAGCAAAGAATGTCCTAAGTTAAATGCCTTCTGACAAGTCTGGATCCCCACAGTTCCAGACCCTTTGTACATACCTCTGTTTTCACTTTTAGACTACAGGGAGGAGCCACTAAATGGTGAATGAAGGAATATGCACCATGGTGACTAGGCAGGAAGGATGAAGTGTTTGGGGAGCCTGTTGTGCTCCAGGAAAGGCAGGGGAGTAGTGCTTGACCTAAATCTCTGTGGCGTTTAGATACATAGCTTAGCTCTGCAAGTGCTTCCAGGCTGGAAGTAGAAACAGTCCACACAAGTACAAGTGGATTTTTAATATACTGTGTATAAAAATCCAGCATATACAACCCATGGTAGTTGCAGTTGCTGCCTCAGCTCTTTTCCAGGTCGTCCACCAAGTAGGGTTGAGTGTCCTTCAGGGCCTGAAGGAGCAGATCTTTGCAGGTCAGGTTCCAGGCTGGAGCGAAGCTGTAAAGCTTCCTCATCTTCGCTGGATTGGTGGCCTCTGCCCGCACTGCCTGGTACTGCTCCTCTGTCAGGACCTTCTGGTACAGGGCATCCAGCACCCCATCCACGTCTGTGACCCGCTTAATGAGGGCTTCCCTGTGCTGGTCCATAAAGTGCGGTGCTGGGGGAAGAAGGGGGTAGAGCAGATGAGCTGGTACCCAGGGTGGGAGCTGGGGCTTGTTCCTGCTGAACACTGCTTTCTTCAGACATTGCTCTGAATGCACCCTAAGGGGTGGGGCTCAGGGTGGGCAGCCCATGGACTCCAGATGTGGGATGAATATAACTTTTGTCTCCCTTTCTCCTCACAACTAGGCTTGGCCCAAAAGGGTGTGTGAGTAGGTGGGTGAGTGGGAAGGGTGGGCCCAGCCTTGCGCTCTCCTGGTGCTCCTGGCTGCGGGGACAGTGTGCAGGGGTGTGGTGGGTGGGGCTGATGAAGTGCCCAGGCAGGTGAGTTTGGGTGTGGTGTGAAGGCCTCACCTGACTTGGCTGCCATCTGGGGAGGAGACTTGAACCCTGCTGGTGCAGCTCCAGGACCTATAAGGAAATTAGTGGTCCTTTTCTATTAATCTCCAGGCTCTCTGGGGTCAGGGGCCCCTTGGTCAGGAAGCCAATCAGGACCAAGGGTGGGAAGCCTCCCCTCCCAGTAGAAGTTTTATTACAGGGTAGGAGGAACAGAAAGCGAAAGAGCCCAAGGGGCAAATGTTCAGGTTGGGGTTTGGAGGTTGGGAGTAGGTGAGGGGATCCGGGAGGGGGCTCGCTCACCCTGGCTCGCTTTCTGCAGCCGTTCCGCGGTCTCCTGCATGCCCATGTCGCGCAGCAAGAGGGCAGTGAGCTCGGCGGCATACGCCTCCAGGTAGTAGCTGACGAGCTTGTCCGTGAGGTCCACAGCATCCATGGGCAACAGTGCCCCCCGCGGGATGCGCCCATAGCCCTCGCGCAAGGGCACTGAAAGCAGCTTCAGCTTGAACTTCTTGAGCTCGTCGGTGGTTAGGTCCTCCAGCGCATCCAGGATGGCGTCGCGCGTGCACCCCATGGTTCCGGGGTTCCCTGCCACCGCTGTGGCTCACTGGGGTATCCACCAACCAGGAAGTCTGCTCTGGGGCGGAACCTGTAGCTCCACGCCTCCGACTCGCCTCAGCCCCAGCCCATTGCCCTTGAGCGTAGGTTAGGTCATCCTAAACTTCCCCCCCAGGCCTCAGGTGTCAGTCCCTTGGCAGGGGGCTGAGGGACCGGAGACCAGACGGGAGAGGGAGGGGCTCGTGGGTGGTGCCTGTGACTCCAGGCTTGCATTAGCTAGCACAGACCAGCAACTCAGTTTACTGGAGTGCCAAGGCTTAGAATCTTGGAATTCTAGAGCCCTGAAATCTCTTTCTCTGAACCTTAGTATCCTCTCTCACATGTTAGAGGACCTTAGAAGCAGAATTCTAACAGCCAGAACCTTGTAGCTCCCCAAATTCCATATAGTGGAGGGAAATGAGGTGTAAAAGAGGGGCGAAGAAGAGCTGTGTGTGCTTTATCTCAGCCTCAGTTTCTTTATCTGTAAAATGGAAATAAAGCTCATCCATTTAGTAAACATTCCAACATGACATGGGCTACCTGATGGCTCCTGAAACCTTGCCAAATGCTTCCTGGGAGATCCAGGATTTGGTCCCAGGAGTGGAATTTCTTGGGAAGTGATGACAAGACATTTGTAATGGTTGAGAAAATTCTCGATGGGGGTGGAAGTGGGGTGGGAAGTCATGGGTGGAAAGTTACTCTGGGCCCAAGGGGCTTGACCCAGAAGAACAGGTGAAAGCTTGGGGATTGGAGCCCAAGCTTTGCCAAGAGTCCTTAACTTGCTCTTGACGTGGCTGGGAAGGCCCCATTGGTCTGGCCCTGTGGACCTCACCAGCCTTGTCTTGCACCACTTCCTGCTCTCCCTCCATCTTGAGTTCCAACCACACTGGCCTCTCAGTTCCTCAAACGTGCCAGGCTCCTTGGCTTCTATAAGTTGTTCCCTCAACCCGGAAATCTGTTCCCTCACTCTTTGCTCGACAAACTCTCGAGACTTTAGGTCTCAAGTTAAATGTCACTTTCTCAGGGGGACCAGGCTTGGAATCCCTCTCAGAGTAGTTAATATCACCTGCTACCTATTTGTAGTTTTCATAGCAATTGTGAATAAATTGCAACTAACTCTATTTATTTAGCACCAATCTTCCCCGTCAGCCTGTAAATCATGCCTGTCCACATCATTGTTACAGCCACAGCATCCAGAACAATGCTTGGCCTATAGTAAGTGCTCAATAAATTCTTGTGGAATCAATAATGAGTGAATGGGCCCAGTGGCTCAAGGGAGAATACTAGGAACTGTAAGGTGTGCCTTTCTTCAAAGAGAGGCAGCTTCCAAGAGCAGGACTGTGGTTAGTTTGAATTCTGGCTCTCCTTCCTAGGTGGGTATTGGGAGTCCTTCATGTTTCCGTTTCACCTGGGCTGTAACAATCACCATTCTTTCCAGTGATGTGATCCTGACATATTATACATTTATTTGGCAGCCACCTCCCCACCAGACTGAGTTTCATGAGTGCAGGGACATTGTCTTTTTCATTGCTGAATACCCAGCTTCAAGATTGCCTGGTACACAGTAGATGCTCAGTGAAGATTTGCTGAATGAAGCTTTGTTACCTGCAGCATGTTGTATGTAACAGCTTCCAGAAGGGTAGCAGGCCCTGCTCCCCATCCTTGTATGTGTTGCCCCACATGGGCTGGGTAGTACTATGTGCTAACGTCCTCACCATGGGTGGCATTTGTGGTCCAACAGCCAGTGTTCCCTGGCTCATGGCTGTTTATTATTGTGTCTGTTCGCTGGTCTTTGTCCTTTCAGAATCTCTCATCTTGTGCACTGTGGCCAGAAGGCTACATCTTCCTAGCCCACACATCGATCCTGTCCCTGCCCTGCTCAGAAATCTGCTATGAGTCTGTGTCTCAGAATCAAGTCCAAGCTCCTTGGCTTGGCCTTAAGGCCTTTGCCTACCTCCTCAGCATCACCTTCTACCATGTTGTCCTCTAGCCCTCTGCACATGTGGTACTTGCAGGGTACTTGCTCCCTGCTTGGCTCTTTTTCCTTCCTGGTCTGCTTTGTGGGTTTCTGCCTGTACTCCAGAGTTCATCAAGAGTCACTTTTTGCCCTGGCTGGTGTGGCTCAGTTGACTGAGCGTCGTCCCATGTACCGAAAGGTCGTTGGTTCGATTCCCAGTCGGCACTTGCCTGGGTTGTGAGCTTGATCCCCAGTAGGGAGTGGGCAGGAGGCAGCCGATCTATATTTCTCTTTCACATTGATGTTTCTTTCTGTCTAAAATTCAGTAACAACATATTTAAAAAGAGAAATGTAAGCCCTGGCCGGTTTGGCTCAGCGGTTAGAGCGTCGGCCTGCGGTCCGGGGAGACCCGGGTTCGGTTCCCGCTAAGGGCACGTACCTGGGTTGCAGTTTGTCCCCGGCCCTGGTTGGTCGTGCGGGTGGCAGCCACTCGATGTGTCCCTTTCACATCGATGTTTCCCCTCTCTCTCTTCTTCTCTCTCCCTCCCACTCTATCTGTACAAAAAATGGAAAAATGTCCTCGGGTGAGGATAAAAAAAAAAAAAAAAAGAGAAATGTAAAAAAGTCATTTTTTGTAAGAAACAGACATTGTAGTCCCTCTTTAGGCTGTAGTCTTTCACGTGCATTATTTCTAAGCCTTACAACAATCCCTTTTGGAATAGGGATTAGTAGCTTCATTTTATAAATGAGAAGACTGAGGCTCAGAGAAGTTGAAGGACTTGCCCAAGGTCATGTACCTGAGGGGGATCATATAGCTTGTCTGTCTAGGCTTCTCTGTCTGTCCTCTGTCTAGTCTTTCCTGTTGATTTTTCTGTCCTCTGTGCAAAATGAATTATTGCTTGGCCATGCCCACAGGATGCCCCTACTATGCCTCTGCTGCAGTGTCTATCACACAGTGTGTCTATTCGCTCTGCATTCCCCACCGGATTGAGCTCCTTGAGGCCCCTTTCTGGTCCACAGCACCCAGCACAGGGCTTGGCACAGACTCAGCCTTGATAAGTCTATGCGATGACAAAAGAACCCTAGAATCTAGAATCATAGAAACCTGCTCTTTTCACATTTGGTAGATTCTTAGAAGATTTGTGTGTTTGAGCCATAGAATTTTAAAAACAACTGTCCAGTTTATCCCCTGCACAGAGTAGAGTCCCCTTGGCCACATGGCCATTGACTACATCACTTGAACCCTTGTTTGGATGAGGTGACCTTAGCTTTAAGTAAAACCAATGTAATACATTTCAACCGAACCTTTGGGGCTGCAGGAAATTGCACCTGGGGGAGTGTGTGTCATGATTAGGAGGAGAGGGTGGGCTTCTCATACTTGGCTTTCTGGGGACGAGGGGGCTAAGGACACACCACTGTGACACTGCACCTCTTCTGTTATTCCTGCATATCACCACCCAGGAGCCTTTCTTCTGGGCCAGCTTGCCCTTGGCATCCGATCCCAGTCACATTCCTGCTCACATATGCAGACTGAGACATGGGAGAACCTGACTGTGTTTTCACCTGACCTCACCTCAGAGCAAGTGCTAACACTTTGGTGTGATGTCGCACGGAGGTAACGGACAAAGAGCCAGGGACACACAGCTGTTCCTCTCCTGGAGCTGGAAGCCTCCTACAGTGGCTTCAGGCTGGAACTCAGTGGGAACAAGTTATACCTTTTGATAGGTGCCAATGCTCTGTGAGAACACTGTAGACTCTGAACTCAGAACAACACAAGTTTTTTGAAGAACGTATCTTATTCTGCAAATAGATATTGAAGATCTACTAGATGCCCAACTCCATGATGGTGGGAGACAAATAATAGTAAAAGCAGCTTTCATTTTGTGAATTTATTATGTTCCAGGCACTGTCCTAAGCACTTAACATTCATAATCTCATTTAATTCTCCCAATAACTCCATGAGGTATGTGTATTTATCCCACCTTACAGAGGAGAAAACAGGTATTCAGAAGTTACCTGGAAGCTTACATGGGTAATATCTAAGAAAACAGATTGCACCATGTTCATCTGACTCCTAGGCCTAGGTTCCAACCACCATCTTAAAGTCCCAGTGTCTGTCCTCAAAAGTTGACAAATTGCTTGGAGAGATTATGTATATGGAAATTTATGCCTCCTCCAGACTGTCCACAAACACCCTTAGGAGGGCAGATATTGCAATAATAGTAATGATAACATTAACTTCCTCCTCTTTGCAGAATGCTCTAAAAATTATAATGCACATTCAGAAGATTGTGAAATAGTGGGAAAGGCAGGAAGTTAGGGTTGTCAGACCCACTCAGATTTGATTCTCAGACCCTCTGCCTCTAAGCTGTGTGACTTAGGGAGGTCACAGCCCCTCTCTGGGGTATGCATCCTGTGTCATAAATATAATCACCTCACTGAAGAGGTCAGTAAGTTGCCCAGGGTCCCCCAGGGTGGGGACTGCCAGGTGGTTTTGCCCTGGGAAGGTGGAGACTAGAAGCCTTGGGCTTCTCTCTGGGAAGCCTTGGTAGTCATTGCTCCCTTGCCCCCCTTTTCTGGGGGAAGTCTCTGGTCTGAGCTTTGAACCCTGGCAAGAAAGAACCTCCAGTCTTACCTCGGGCCCATCCTTGCCCACTGGTCTAGAGCCAGAGCAGTTGGTGGTAAGATGCTTCCTGGGCATGACCCTCTACCCAACAAAAGTAACCCTTTCATTGCTGGAGTCAGATTGCTCCTTCTGGGGCCAGAAGGACCACAGACTTCCAGGACACTGGGCAAGTCACTCTGCATCTCATGGCCTCCCTGTAAGATAGGAATAATGAGGTCATGAGGTCACAAGTGAAGATATGAGATTATAAGTGGATCAAGAATGGTAAGTGCTTGGAACAGGCCTGACACATAGTAGGTGGCTTTGTCATTATTAAAGTTTTTGAGCCTCAGTTTCCCGATCTGTGAAGTGGGGAGGATGTTGTTGACCTTACAGGGTTGTAGAGAAGATTCATTGGCACAATTAGTAATAATAATTGTAATATCAATAGCCAACATTT